TGCCACCCTCTTGTTTATGAAACCAAGTGAAACAAAACATCCAGAAGTATTTGTTTTCTTTCCATCTTCCTTCCAATGATACCTGACATTTGTAGGGCCTGACAGTACAGATATTTGCACAGAATTCCTTGTCATGTTTATATATATATATAAACTTAATCAATATCCATTCTTAGTGGATGGTCTAAAAAATGAAAAGGATAAAAGATGCTCCTACCCAACTCTATGACCTTTGCTTTGTATTTCACATATCATCTACGCTGACCTCAGGCTTAGAATTTCAGTGGTTCTGCTCATGACATGTAGAGTACTAGAAACAGCTGTGTTCCTAAGGTGTCTCATGAAGCCTCAGACCTCACAGGTTTCCTTTCTCTTCTGGTATTGAATTTGACTTGCTGAGCCCTACAGTGGTGACAGCTCAAGTATGTTGGCCAACAAGGAGGAACACGGCCCTCATTGTGAAGGGTCTGATGGAGGAGGCAAGGAGTAGAGGTAGAGGAGAGGCCTTGCAGATCTGTGTGTACTGTATCATCCAGCCCTGTAGTGGGATGTGCAGCAGTACCAAATGAAAAAGCAGTGGGTCCTTTTAGATTAAGAGGTAGGACATGTTTAGCCACTTTAGTATCCATTCAAGTTGCTTTGTTTCTGATTCTGTATCATCTGAGCCACTGTGTCTGCCTTTGTTTATAGTGGTTCAGATAATGCACGATTGTGTTATTATCCTCCATAAATGAGAATTTCTGACAGGTCTTTCTTCATACGTTAAATCAAAATCTCTCTTCCTTCACCACTGAAGAGTTTAATGGCAATGTGGACTAGACATGGAGTTGGTTTCTCCAAAGGCAACAGAGAAAGCTCCCAGAGCACTGACAATGCAAGGGCTGATAGAGGCAGATGGAACAGTCACAGATTACTGAGAGCCAGACTGGAAGATTTCAGGCCAGTCATCAAGCCCAACTTAAATATTTCTAAAGTTCAAGATAATTTCTAGCTTCACTTTTTGTGGAGGGAAGGAAAAAAAAAAAAAATCAACCCTACTAATTCAGTATTTCAGGACAAAAATTAATTTTGAATCATCTGGATTTCCCTTGGGAGGGAAATTTTGCTTTTCAATGAGCTGGAAGTGATGTATCTTAAAAATCCCAGGCAACAATCTCATATTGGTATTTTTAATTCTGAAGACCGTTCCCATGAGTTTCTAGTGTTTTTAAAGTAGGTCAAATTTCGAACACAAAAAAACCTTAAGAGTTATGCCCCTTTCATCTTTTCTTAGGAGCAATAAGCCTTTTTGGTATTATAGCTGGCTTAAATATTAAACAGGAAGCAAATTACATTTCCAGTCATTAAAGTACAATAGCACAGCTCTATTGTCTGAATCAGTGCAATATTAGGCCAGATTGTCACAAAATGCTCAAAAATGAAGTCATATTGTAAGAATGTAATGAAATAAGCTTTTCATGCTTTTACTGTGAGTTCTGCCTGATGAGGGATTACTTCTTCATTCCTGCCAACAAAGGTATGAAATTCAAGCCTCCAAACTGGAATTCAGCAAGCAATTATGTACAATTTGACATTCACGTGAATAGTTACTGCAAAAATGTAACCCATTCTAACTTTGTTGTTTACAAGATTACAAGCTTACAAATCTTTCTACTGCATGACTGGACAACTTACTAAGATTTCTTTGAAATGACTCCATAAATTGAGGCATTTGCCTGCAATTCTGTTGGCTTGAAAGGAGCGTACACCATAGGGCTTTAAGCCCAAAGGTGAGCTAAAGGTGTGAAAGTACAAAGTGCCCACTGCTCAAACACCTGCTCATAACAACATAGCATTAGGAAAGACCTGAAAGACCTTGCAGGAACCCTAACTGACAATGTAGGACAAGCATGCCTGGTAGCCTCCCAGAAGATTAGCCCTATTTATTGCATCCAAATAGATATTAAGCCTGCCAAAAATACTAAGCACAAGATGGAAAATGCTGCTTCTTGGAACAGCAATATGCTCCCATTGAGTTCTCTGGTGGAGTCTTGTCTCTAGCTAAAGCAGGAGTTGTCCGCTGTTGCTGAAAGATAAGAATTTTGGGTTACGTTCTTTTAGTGTTTCAGTTCCTAGCCTGTCCCAGCAAGGCAGAGTGCCACTCAAGACCTTCCTACTTCACTCTGGACAACTCAAAGGTGGCTGGTCCTGACATTATGCAGCTTTAAAACCATTCAGCCCTAGGGACTCTGTGGCCGCCAAGGATGCTTCTTGGAACAGCAGCTTGTTACAGGGCTGAACTCTCAAAGGTTTTTCTGACACCTGAACTAAAATCTTTGAGAGTAATCTATCTTCTGCAGTGATTTTATTTAATGCAAAAACTTTGTGATGTTCTCTTTCTCCCCTTTTCTAAATAGAACAAACTCAATTCCTTTGCTGTTTTTTCATGTCACGTTTTCCAAGGCTCTTACTACTCTTGCTTAAAACCTTTTAGTCTTTAATCTTCAGAATCTCTTCTAAATGCCATGTTAGGAACTGAACAGAGTATTCCAACTGAGGCTTTATTGACACTGAGTACAAAACTCTCTTCTTAGTCTGACACTCCTGTTTGTACATCCTTGAATGAGATGTGCCCATTTCACCTTTAATCTGTATTTCATTTGTGATCTGGCCTCATCTCTTGGATCCTTCCTGGGAGTACTTCCTGCCTCTGTACTTATTCCTGTTTCAGGAGGAATAACTCAGCTCTTCCTGCAGTTGATTTGTTTCCATACCATTCTTAGCTTTGTACTTCATAGAAATGCTGTTGGTTGCATTGCTTCCTCCATTTAATGCAATTGGCTTGTATTCTAATCAAGTTCTCTCTGAGGTTTGTAATATTTTCAATCAAGATTGCTCAATGAAAATTTAAAAATCATTAATGACAGCATTGAATAGAACTAGGCTCACACACTGCTGGAAACATTCTCCACAGTTGTGTCAGCAAATCAACAGCATCTTTCTGGGCATCTAATATAGCTGTTATTCCTACCAGAAACACATCCTCGGGATTTCAGATGGACAACAAGTGCTGTCGAAGAGGAATCTCTAACTCTGCATCACCTTAAAATTCCCTATCCATCTGTAGAAGTGGCCTTTAATTACATCTGTATACTGTCACCCATACTTGCTGTTAGCTCAAGTTACTAGCTGGGAGGTATCTGCTCTAATGGTCATATAATTTCTCATTTAATAAAATAATTCAGCTGGAGGAACCTTCAGTTCGTTCTAGATACTTAGTTACAGACTGTGAAAGATTTATGTATATGAAGTGTGCTCAGTTTTACTGTCATGCGCCATTGTTTTGACAGCCCAGATGAAGTTCCAGGTATGACATTATCAAACAGAGTATGCCCTAGAGAAATTATTTTTTTTCTGAGAGTTTTACTCCACACTCTCTCAGCTTAAAAATGCAGAACAGGCCACAGGAAAATGGAAAGAAAATTAAGGCTTTGATTCAGCAAAGAACCTTGACGCCTGCTTACATTTAAGTAGTTATACAGTCATGACAATTATGCTAGTGTTTAAAATCCAAGTGCTTCAGTAAAACACCGAGCCAAGCTTGATGGAGCTCCTTACCTTCTTTTAATACCACTTACAGTTTGCTTACTTATTACTCCTGTCACATTTAAAACAAATGAACCTTCAAAACAAACAAACAAAAGAGGTTACATATACTAAAAAATAAAGGGTGTGTGCAATACAGTTTCAGAGGGGTGACCCATATGACTGGAATACACATATAAAGGTATTGTTCAGAGAGTGTAATGAGGGGCTGGGGCAAATAGATGGCCTTTTTTAGTTTTCAGAACTGATGTATAACAGCGTGCTAAGGGACCGTGGGCTGCTTGAAGCCTTGGGAATGATGAAAGGAGAAAAGGATCTGAGAGGGAAGCAAGGAGAAAGGATGGCAGGTCAGATGGGCGGTTCTGAAGCACGATCACGGCCAAAAACAGTGACAGAAGTGCAAAAAGGGCAGCGTCAGCCTGAAGGAGCACGCAGCAAGCAGCGTTCGTGTCACAGAACGAGGGCGAGCCGAGAAAAATCCGCTGCGGCGCGCGGAAAGCTTCCCTCGGACGCGGGAGGTTGGGAAAACGCAAGGCAAAACGCCGTATGAAAGGGATGAGCTCACCCGCTCAGTTCCTGCGTGTCACTCGAGGAAGGAAACAATTATGTGTCCCTTCCTCCCACACCCGCGCTGGAACCTAGCCGGCCGGCGCCGCTGCCTGAGGATACCAAGTGGCACCCCACAGTCCTCCCTCACCCTGCCGCCGCCCCAGGGCTAACGGCCGCACTGCGCACCACCGTCCTTGTCCCACCCCCAATCCCCCGCGCGCCAAAAGACCCCCGCCCGGCACGGGCCGAGGTGGTCCGGCGGGGGTGGAGAGCGCCGCACGATTGGCCGGCGGCGAGCCAAGCGCAACCCGCTCGGTGGGCGCCTATTGGTTAAGGCAAGCTGGGGCCACGCCCCCTCCTTCTTTTCCATTGGTCGCCTGTGTCCGTCGGGCCCCGCCTTGCCCCCCGCCCCTCCGGGGTCATTTAAGTTTATGAGGAAAATAAATAAATAAAGCGGGAAATTGAAATGCGTAGAAGCGGGGGGGGGGAGGGTGGGGAGGAGGGGAGAAGCACAACCTAACCTGCTGATCGGGGGCGGTGCGCTTGCGGTAGCCAATAGGCATCCGGCTGCCGGGAGAGAGTGACGTCTCCACTTAACCAATCGAAGCGCTGGGCGAGGGAAGGCTGGAGCAATCGTTGCACCATTGACCAATGGGAGAAGCCATCCCTTCGACCAACAGCTGGGCGCCCCAATAGAAAGGCCGCATAGCGGGCCGGCGAGCGTCGCTTCACCTATAGGAAATTCGCCGTGAGTCCTGCGGCGGGGGCCGGCCTCGGGGGGGGGGGGGGTGTGACTCAGCTAGGAGTGGCGGGGCTCGGAGCCAATAGGGGCAGGGCAACGGGAGGGCCGGGGTCCAATGAGGAGATCGGCGCGGCGGCGGCGGCCGCCTGTGAAAGTGCCGAGCCGGTGCGCTAGGGGCAGGGGGAAGATGAGAGAGGTACCGCGTTTCCGGGGTCAGCGGGGGGTTAGGGGCGGGGCCGGGCGAGGCTCCGCCTGTCGGGGGTGGGGTCGTAAGGCGAGCTGGTGGCGGGGTGCTGGGGGTGATGCTGGGTGCTGGGCGCTGCGAGCTGTTGCGTTCCGACCGCCGCCCCGAGGCGTGAGGAGATCCCCGGGGAGGTTCGCTCCTCGGCCGTGTGTCACCCGCGGTGATTTACAGCTGCGTAACAGCCCTGAAATCCAAACGCTTCGCGGGCTGTCTGTGTGCCCAGGCTGTGCTCTCGTGTAGGATGCTACAAGTACAGCGTTAGAGCTGACCGAAGGATCCCAGTGCTATTTGTGAAGTAGCAGTTTTCTGCGGGGAAGTTCCAGTTTTACTGAGAAAAAAAAAAAAAAGAAAAAAAAAATTAAAACAAAACGAAACCAATAAAAGCTGGATATATTTTTTTTTTCTGACCAGAAAACTAAAGTGATGGTTGGTGGCTACCTGCCTCGAAGACTTCTGCCAATTCTGCTTTCTGCTTCCAGGGAGAAAAAACGGATAACAAAACCTTCCCCTGAGAGAGCTTCACTTTATAACCCCCCCCTCCCCCTCCTCGCCCCCCCCATCTTCCACTCCTGTAAAGGAATTGCTTAGAATTTTCATTTCACAAAGCATGCGAGAGCTTTACTTCGTATCCTGAAACACAGCAGAGCGTTTTTTTTTTTTTTCATGGGATGAAAATTCCGGTATTTGGCCAGCCTGAATCAAAACTTCTGGAAACTTGGGGCCAAATCTTTGGCTTGTACAAACTGGCTGGCTGCGTTGTGTTTAGTCCACAGAGGAACTGGCCCTGGTTTAATTAACGGTTCACCCGAGGTCGTGCAGGGAGTTGATTTTAAAGCCGGGAGCTGAATCCAGGGCTGTTATTATTCAGCCTTGTCATATATCTTGAAGTTTACTGCACAACATTGTATTCTTCTTCGACGAGCTGGATTAATGAGTGCCAGAATCCACGAGACTGTGATTGCAACTCTTCTTAAAAATCGTGCTCTGAAAATCTATTCAATTGCAATCTTACTAGAAAAGAGAGTAAATATGTTGTAATTAGTGCATAGGTGACACTGACTACCGAGGGAGAAAGAGGCCCCAAAAACTGCTTTTGTTATTTAAACCTTTCTTTCAAAGTACAAAAGCATTTGATTGGCACTTCACTGATTTAATAGTCCATTTGTAATGCAGGAAGAACATTACAGAAGATTTTAGCATTATTTTAAATCTCATCATTTAATATGTAGGTGTTTAAAAAAAAATCCTCATTTCTAGCTGAAGGAAAGTTTTTGATAGTATGTAGATTCTGTGACTAGTCACTTGTTAAAGGTATGCAAGTCTTATGTTTTCCAAAATAAAATGGTTTGTAGTCTTAAAGTAGAACTGAGCTTGTTTGTTGCGTTGGCATACAAAGAATCCTTCTGGCCCAGGGCTTGTGGCTGCTGTGGATACACTGTAGTGTTAGGAATGAGTTCCTGATTCCCTTACTTAAAAACCAGGGAGTTTCCAGCACTTCACCTAAACTAGAGAGCAGACCAGATCCTTTGCAGCAGTTGTATCGTATGTATGAACTACCTGCTAGTTCATCCAATATTCTGAATTTGCAGAGGCAGCCTTCCAGCTGTACTTGCATAAATATGCTTTGTCAAGTTTGATTTTTTTTTTTTCTTTCTAATTTACGCATGAGGAAGATACAAAGGAAACAAATCCAGATTCCCTCCCTTTGTTTCTGTTTGAGAGTGGAAAAGAAGACTTCATAAAGCACACGAGGGCTCGTCTTTGCCTTCCAAATGTTTAAGGGGTGACTTCATGGCTCCAGTATTATATGCTAGAAAGACCCTGAGTTAAACAGCAGTGAAATGACTTGCCAATGTCAAAGAGCAGTCAGTGACAGCGTTGTTACAGGCCCTCTGCCTCCCAGGCCACAGCTGCACCTATTGGCTTCGTTGTCCCATCCCTCCTACGCACATGCATGCCTGGCGTTGTTTTGGAAATACAGCAGAAACTTGATAATTCAAACTGATGACTGGGGGAGCCACTTGTGGAATTAATTTATTGGGTAAATTAGTGACTACATGTGCTGGCAATTTGTAATTTATTTTATTTTATTATTATTTTTTTTAAGAGATGCTGTGTCATAGTGTATGATTTGTTCAGTTGCTTCAAACAGTCTTGTTTAATTGTCACTGCATGTTAATTTAGTATCCTGAAACAGTTTTTGCTCAGTATTTTAATAGTAAAGTGTTAAAAGACCTCAGCATAGTTCTACCCTTGTTTTTTAAATCTTTGAGGAGAATTGGGTTTTCAGTACTTCATCAGGAGGTTATAATTTGGGATTAGAAATTAATCCATAGCACCTATTTTATGGTGTGGGATTTATGACATGCCTCAGAGGTTAAACTATCGCCCCACTATACTGATCTGTGCTGTGCTGATTGGATTTCAGCAGGACTGCTTGACTAAGACAAATAGGATTTGATCCTTGCTGGGTAACTTTGGTCGGATTCCAGGTGGCCCTTAAGAGTTACGATTTCCATCTCAGTATTAGAAAATAAATGTGTTCTTTTTTGTTTATTTTTCACAGGACCCCGGTATTGTTCAGTATAGTTTGTCATGTGAGGCTGTAAATCCCTTCAAGCGAGGTGGGATTTGAGATTTACAAACTGTTCCTAAGTGATTACACACGTACTGCGAAGGAAAAGGCTGTCCTCTAGCCAAGTGAGGGCAGAACTCACGATGCTTAACTCATTAAGATTCCAAAGCGACCGGAATTACTAATATGGAATATGCTAGCAGAAAAATAATTATTTTTTTATTTGTTTAAAGTACTACGTTAATGTTACATAAACAAAATGCATACGTAATTGCATGCATAGTAGCCCAAGTGAATTTAGCAGCTGCTCTGAAGCAGCAGGCTATTGCAGAAAGCCTGCACCAGTCATTATGGTATTATTAACAAAACAAAAGCAAGATAGTGCCCCCAAACTGGCAGCTTTTAGTAAACTTTATGTGTTTACCCTTCCATAGTCATGCTGACCCTTGGTCTTAGATTTCAGAGCAATACAAACAAAACCAGATCAATTTCTTTAATTTTGATGAGCCACAAATACTCTGATGAATCATTGCACGATTGAGAAGCAAAAAAAAAAAAAAAAAAGGAGTTGTTGACAAGATTTCACAATCACTGTGAGGTGATTTTGGAACCTCAGAGTTGCTTTGTGAAGTCCCACACCTTTTGGTTTGAGTCGAACTCTCTAAAAAGAGTTCAGGATGTAGGTTGTTCTGTTCCAACCGATATCACTGAATACCAGATTCTACTCTGATTTTTAGAGATACTCACAAAAAGTGGCCCGAGAAATAAGAAAATATAGCCATCTGTAATCAAATTTTCTCATCGAGGAAAGTTCTGAGTCCGATTCTTTTGCTGTTTATTTGAATAAAAAAAATATTCCTTCAAATTTTCCTGTTTTTCTTTTTTTATAAAATGAAATATGGGATCCAACTCGATTGTTGCTTCTTATATTTTCATGAAAGCATACTGAAGGCTGAGTACTTTGTTGCTGATTTTGGTTTCTGGCTTAAGACGTGGGACCCCGAAGCTCTCTGCTCTGCCACAGATAGCATATTTGACTTTAGGGAAAATTGCTCTGTCTTTGTTTCCCATCTGTGTAACAGGAATAATATTCATGTGCTGTCATCACAAATACTTGTGAAGGTATACACTCAGAGAATTCTGAAATGATGTTGTTACGGTTATATATAATATCACAACTAATAATTTCAGATTCTAGGTGCCAATTATTGCATTGGCTATTTGGTTTGACGGTAAATGCCAGTGTTAGTAACTTCATAAACTTCAGCGTTGTTATTCTGGGTTTGCATCAGAAAACAGAACGTGGCTTAGACATGAATTTCCTCTTTGAAATAACTGAAGTGACATCAGTGGAATTATACAGGAATGATTTTGGCATTGATATTGCTGCAGGACATAGTGCTGAGTGCTTTGGCCTCATACAGAGTGAGCTGTCTTCACTGTGCAGGAGTTCAAAGCTTCTTTGGAGTTGCTGTATCCTCTTTACCATTTTAAGTTTTCCAGCGTTGCAGCTACAAAGTGGTGTTACTGGAAGCACCAGCAGGATTTAGAAGTGTGCTTGTCTCATACCCGGTGCTGGTTACACAAATGATTTAATCCCTCAACAACCTCTGTGTAACAGAGGAATAAAACTTAGGAACTTCAAAGTTTTAAAAAATTTTAATGACAAACTGCGATCAGAAATCTGGACCGTTCTCCTTATAAATAGTACTTTTTATTTCCAGACAATGCAAATTGCCTTCTGAAAGTCTCCGTGTCATTTTATGGAAGAAGGAAGCAAAAAATACACACAGTTTTCAAAAATTGGTGATTTCTATTTTTGCGTGTATTGCACTGTGTGTATTTTTCTGCTGGAATCCTGAAGCTTCGTTCCCACCTGCAGCACTCCTCATTCGGTGCACAGCCCTCTCCCATTGATGCTGGGGACAAGCTGCCATCAGGAAGCGTAATTGCCTCAGGTTAGATACTGAATGACCTCAAATCTAGCATGGAAGTTACGGCTTTCAGGAATAGTGAAACAGCAGCAAAGCTTTTCAAAATAGTTTGGTGTTTAGGCCGCTTGAAAAAGTTGTTCTTCAGTAGTTTTAAGTGCAATTGAATGAAGTTTGGGACTAATATAGCAGGTCTGCTGTTCTGTTCGTCAGTGCCTGTTTTGTTTAGCAATTTCCCATTTCATAGCTGTAAAACGGACAAATCAAACCTTTTGTGCTGTTTAGTGGGATTTAAAGGGTGGGTCCAGCTTCTCTCCAAAACATTCATAGCACTTCTCCCCCATTGTAGTATACGAATAACAGCCGCTGAACTCAACGCGAGGTTTTTGTATCATGTGGCTGAAAAGAAGAGCCCCTATTTATAGCATTCAGACATTGGCAGGTGCAAGACTGGGGAGAAACTTTAGTCTCACACATCCCAAACGGTTGTTTGGGAGAGTTTTCTGCGTGGTTGAAGCTGCTCCGAGGTGGGCCACAAGAATCAACAGCCGCGTCGGAGGCTGCCGTCTTGTTGAGAGCAATCAGCTTCTGTCTCCTGGAGGGTGTGCGACGGAGAAGGGCCTGATGGTGCTGATTGCAGTCATATACTTAGCAATGGCAGCTTTAGCTATTATTTATAGAAGTGCTAATTATATCAATAGAAATAGCAATATTAATACTGTTAAGTGTCAGAATCTACGCTTGACAGCATGAACTAAACGCAGCTCCTGTGAAACGAAGCAGCCAGCTTGTCTCCCTTGTCAAACCACCAAGATGCATTTCAGGAAAGCACACACCCACCTTAATTGCTTGGGGTCTCAACGTTTTTGCTCATCTTGTTATATCACTATCATTTCAAGCTGGCAACTCACAGGGCCGGCTGTTCTAATGAAATGTAGACTGTATCCTCAGTCAGTCCAGAACACTCAAACTGTGACTGAAATGTAG